TCTCTGTTTCATCATCCTGACCAGCATGACTTATTCCAATAGGCATTTGGTTATTTAATTGCTCTGAGTAGGGGTTTCCTCTACGACTGCAGGAAAGGTTTGAACTGGATTTGCTATTGGGGCCTGCATGAGGCCCCTCTGCGAGTTTCCCGAAGACTGAGGCAAAGGATTACCCTGTCTGTCCCTTGTTGATCTACACTCGTTGGTCCAGTGTCTTCCCTTACTACACCTTCTGCATACTCCAGAAGGAAGGGGCAGTCTGTTGCCATTGTTCCTTGAAGAAACATTGTTTCTAGGAATGACCTGTTTACAGTCCCTTTTCAAATGTCCTTGTTTTCCACATCCAAAACATCTAACATTCCTCAAACCTTTTGAAATTGCTTCTCCTACCCACATATCATCATGATCATGAGCTTCAACATTAACCGTGTCTCTAATCCAATCTTCCAAAGGTGCAGATCTTGCCTTTAACGGCCTGATTATTGTTTTACATGCTGCATTCGCATTCTCAAAGGCCAAAGATTCAATTATTATCTTACTAGCTTCTGAATCCGGGACCATTCTCTTTACTGCTGAAGCCAGTCTTTGTAAAAAATCTGTGAAAGATTCTTTTGGGCCTTGTACAACCTTTGTAAATGACTCAGTTTTTTTTCCTGGTTCCTCAACTCTGTCCCATGCATTCAAGGCTGCTGTTCGACATAAAATTAGGGTTTGGACATCATATAAACATTGTGCTTGTGCTGAAGCATATTGACCTTCTCCAATAAGCTGATCCTGGCAGACTTGTATTCCTTTATCCCTCCACTGTTTTTCTATGTTTTTAGCTTCATCCTTGAACCAAGTTAGCCACTGAAGCCTTTGACTGGGTTCAAGAACAGCTTGTGCCAGCTCCCGCCAATCCTGTGGTACAATCCTATTATATGTTGACCAAGAGTTTAACATTTGCTTTACATATGGGGAATGCATGCCATAAGATACTATTGCCTCCTTAAACCTTCGTAAATCTAACATTTCAATTGGAGTCCAAATATTTTGTGTAGTCATTTGATCAGGCAACTGCTGTACGGTTACTGGACAAACTAAGGGTGACTGTGTGAAAACAGGCTTTCTTTCTGTAACCCTATGATCCAATCTTGAAACAACTTCACTGTTAGTTTCTTCTGTCTGAGTTTTTACAGGTTTATAAAGTTTTTCTAAAGCTGTCACCCTGGCACTTAAATTGACTATCTTTTTAAATAGTAAAATGAGAATAAGCATAGTAATAAAATGCATAATTTGATCAACATTGATCTTCTCATATAGCTGTTCCATTGTCAGACTGTCTAAAATTGCAAACAAAGCCCAATTTTCTTCCAATGAACACAGAAAACCCATTTTTTTTAAATGTGGAAAAAAATTTCTCTTTTAAATAGTTTCCTTTAAAATATTCGATATGTTAAGTGACTTACCAAGTCCTCGTAGAACAGTACAAATCCGAGGGAATTTCAAAACAGCCACCTAGTGTCCGAGGTGTGAATTCAGAGAGAGAGAGAGAGAGAGAGAGAGAGAGAGAGAGAGAACACGCAAGAACCGTAGCCGCAAGTTCTGCCTAAGAGCTTGAATCCAGCCACGTGTTCCCGCTTGAGCCTAGTCAAGCCTTGGCTCTGGTGATCTTAAGCTCCAACCACGTGCGTTGGCTTTACAGGCAGGGGCCCTGTTCGGCAGGTCAGGCCTGAATTGTCTGTAGCACCGGCTTTAAGCAAGTAGCTCAAGGTTAGTCCGGCCTGAGGCCAAGCCGACCTGGGCCCGAGCTAGGAAGTCGGCCGCCCTGGCGGGAAACCGGACCTGCCGGCTGGCCAGGCGGGAAACCGGACCTGCCGGCCGCCCTGGCGGGAGACCGGACCTGCCGCCAAGCCAAGTTAAGCGGTTTTTAATGGATTCTTGTCACGTTGGGAGCCAAATGTAGATGTAACCAACCATCTTATTAAATAAGAAACACAGAGCCGATTCAGAAAAGAAAGCCAAGAGGTCAGAGCTAAGAGTCTCACCCTTCCTGATTCAGCGATCCTCTTCAGCCAAGAGAGCTCTCCGAAAGGGACCTACTTCCTGTGTGTATGTCTTTATAGCCTTTCTGTTCTGCCTTCTCATTGGTTGTAAACCCAAACATGTGACTGCCTCATCACTGCCTGAATGTACCGCCCTCCAGGTCCTTAAAGGCGTGCGCCACCGCCACCACGCACTTGCTATGGCTCTAATAGCTCTGACCCCCAGGCAACTTTATTTATTAACATACAATTAAAATCACATTTCAGTACAAGTAAAATACCACCACAATGGGTATAGGTGCTTGTGACCTGAGGTCGATCCCTGAGTTCCATGTGGTTGAAGGAGAGAAATAACTCGTTCAGGTTGTCCTATGACGTCCATGCATGTGCATGTGTGCACGCAAACACAAACAAGTAAATAAGCAGTTAATTAATTTGATTTTTAACTGAGGTTATTAATTTGCCCTTGTAGCTAGAGTTTTCCTGCCTGGCCCACAGTCAGGACAAATCTCTGACCCCGCCAGTCCCACAGCCATTCAGACCCGACCAAGTAAACACAGAGACTTATATTGGTTACAAACTGTATGGCCGTGGCAGGCTTCTTGCTAACTGTTCTTACAGCTTAAATTAATCCATTTCTATTAATCTATACCTTGCCACGTGGCTTGTGGCTTACCGCTACTTTACATCTTCCTTGTCCTGATGGCGGCTGGCAGTGTCTCTCTCCCCCAGCTTCCTGTTCTCTCCATTCTCCTCTCTGTTAGTCCCGCCTATACTTCCTGCCTGGCCACTGACCAATCAGTGATTTATTCATTGACCAATCAGCAACACATTTGACATACAGACCATCCCACAGCATGCCCTTAAGTAAGTAAGCTTTTATCCATAAAGGCTTGCAGTTAAAGGGAACATATCAAGCATGGACATGAACAATAACAAAATACTTGATGTGATTGAAATGAAAGCAGGTGGGTACATAGGTAGGCTAGAACTGGAAAGGAAAGGGAGAGTTAGATTTTACAGAGCCAACACAGGATCTATAGTCATTAAAAGGTGAGAAGCAGAAAACTGCTATGGTTGGATTCACTTCTTTCTTTACTTTGTGTACACATATGTGTTTGTTATATGTGGTATGAGTTGATGTGGTGTGTGCACATGTGCACATGGATGTCTGTGGAAGCCAGAGGTTGACATCGAGTATCTTTCTCCATCACTCTCCATTTTATTTTTTGACAGGGTCTGTCACCAAACCGGGAGCTCACTAATTCCACAAGACTGGCTGGCCAATGAGTTTCAGAGATCAGCCTGTCTCCATCCCCTTTTTGTCCAGATCTGAGACTATAGCTGCACTGGCTTCTGCATGGGCACTGGGAATTGAACTCAGGTTTTATTGCTTGCACAGCAGGTACTTGACTGACTGAACCTTCTTTCCAACCCTAGAGCTTGCATTTTATAAAGATACTCTGACAGCACCATGAAGGGTTGTCAGCAGAGTGTTACCATAGCTTAGGGAAGAGGAAAATGATGGGTCAGTCAATCAGTAGAGACTGCAATGAAGGAAAGGAGAGTCAACGAGAAGTATTTAGATAAAATGTGGATATAGAGAAATGATAGCTATCAACTATTCCATAAAATTCATCCCCCAACGTAGCTATTTGCAATGCTTAACACATAGACTCTACGCATAAGGGGTGCTTTCTGACTCAGTCAAAGAGCTGTTGTCAATGCTGACTGAAGACGGTTTGAATTACAAAAATGGGCTCTGTGGCTGGATTTAGCGTCATCTGGGAGACAGGCCTAGAGGCCTGTCTCTGAGGGTGTGTCCAGAGAAGTTTGATTAAGAAAGATGCCCCCTGAACACATGTGGCACCATCCGAGGGGCTGGGATCCTAGACTAAATAAAATGGAGAAAGTGATCTGAATCAGTATCTCTCTCTCTGCCCTCTGGTTGTGGATGCAGTGTGACCCACCACCTCATGTTTCTGCCACCATGCCTGTCTTGTCATATTGGACTATATCCTCTCAAACTGAGAGCAAAAAAAAAAAAAAAAAATTCCTTCCTTAAGTTGAATATTTTGTCACAGCAACGAAAAAAGTAAGTAATGTAGGCTTTGTCTGTCATAACCTGTCTTCTCATTACAGACTACAAAAACGACACACTGAGGACAGGGCAGGCTTGTGACTACGTAGACAGGACTGTCAAGCTGTAGCTAAGAAATGACAATTCTCAAAAGGATTCTCCTCAAGCCTCCACATGGAGTTTACCCTATGACAACCCCAAATTTGTACTTCCAACTTTCTGAACTTCAAGAAAATAAATTTCTCTCATTTTCAAGCCACTTTTGTGATAACTTATTACGATATCTACAGCAAAATAAAATACTCTTCCATGGCTGTGTTCATGGCATTCAGCCCAAGTTCTGATGGTTTTTCCATTCATTTAATTACTGCCTTTCTCACCGGGGTGCAGGCAGGACCTTTTCATGGCTAGCCTCTCAGCACGGTATCTGGAGCACTTAAGACAGCACTTACCTCAGTGTACATTTGAGTAAAGAAACCTTAGCCTTTGAAATGGTTCAATGATCTTGCATAAACATCCGCATTTCCTGGAGCCTTCTCAAACTAATGTTTTGTTATTTCTCAAATACCCAAGTATGGGAGTGTAGGAACCAAAGACCACGTGACCAAACAGTTACCAGTTTACAACACAGAGCCGGTGTGAAGCTATAAGACCTGAGTTACAACCTGGGGTAACCTTTTGTGGTTTTGGCTGCCTCAGGTGGAGAAGCCCCTCGGTTGCCTGGGCAACGCCTCTGCCCAGCTGGAGGGAAAGCACCCCGAAGGGCTCAGTGCGCAGGCGCCTGCGGGGAGCCAATGGGCGCGGCTGTACCGCCCCGGAGCGGGCTGCGCGCCTCCCTCCCGCGGGCGCGGTCGGTTGTGTGCCGGGGCGGCGGCGGGGCGGTCACGTAGGTTACGCACAGTCACTCCGCTGCGAGCCGGCACTCTGCGCCGTCCCCTGCCGCGGCGCCCCGAGCGAGCGGGGCCCTTGATGGCGCGGGTCGGCGGCCGGGGGCGCCGCTGACGGCAGGCGCGAGGCACCGAGGAGAGCCCGAGCCGGCCCCTCCCGCCCACCTCCGCCGGCAAGCTCTGTGCCCCCAAACCCCGGGCCCTCTGCGGGAATGTTCAAAAATGAGTACCAGGTAACCCAAAAGGGCTTCCTCGCCGGGGTGAGCTGGCTCGCCTTCGGGGTCGTGAAGCCTCCACTCCCGGGGTGAAAAATAATTAGTGACTAAGTGGTCTTGATCGTAAGCTGTTCTTGCTCCCGCTCAGTGCTATTTAGTGCAGAATTGGTTGATCTGATTACAGAGCAGGCCATGACCCCCCAACTCCAGACACCCGGAATTGGAATTTGAGCACAGGACCCAGAAATCCTGAGTTTTAACAAGCACCCGGGGCTTTCACTGTTGATCTCCTCTGGTATCTTAGAAGCTATTTAGAGGAGTTAATGAATGGATTCTTTTAAACACAGGATTAAAGTCAGCACTTGGGGTGTGTGCTGTTTTCTTTTTCCTATGATTCTTCCAGCATTGGGGTATATGAGGATCAGTTGGGGAATACTAACAACAACAACAACAAACCCAAAAAACAAACAAACAAAAAAATCCCAGACTTCCTGACCCTCCTCCTAGATCTGGTGAATAAAAAATGTGGCTGGGCTTAGCCCTTCTACGTTTTAAAGCAACTCCCAAGCAACTGTGATCCAAGGATTACATTTGGAACGCACAGTTTTCTCAGTGTTCTCAGACACCTTGCTCCATGGATGGCATCCTTTCCTCAGCTCACTGAATGGCTTTCTGCCCCGGCTTTCCAGGCGTCATCTTGAAATTGCAGTCTATATGACATTTTTATCTTGCTATTAGGAATATTGTTAGGGTGCTTAGTACCCCCACCCTCACCCCAGGGTCCACCTCTCTGTGGTTTCATCCTTTTGGCCAAACACTACTTGTCCTTAAAGCACTGTGTGCTTCTCTTTTGTCCTGTTTTAGAAATTCATTCTATGGGTTTAGAATAAACTTAGGTTAATCTCAGTGAGTGTAGATAAAGTATGATGTTATGAAATAACACTTGCCCACTGTGGGCATCTTGGAAAACACAGGAAAAGAGGTGGAGGGAAAAGATTTGCTGTTTTATTAAGGTTCTGGGGATTTCTTTTTAAAACCCAGCTGCCTCAAACTTAAAATTCATAGCAAAATGACCCGCCCTTAGAAGCAGTAGCATATACAATTTTGCACATAATAAGAACAAAGAAATTTTCTGCAAAATATATGCTTTAGGAAAAATGCTGGTAATTTTTTTTATAAAAACTAAACAGGTTTTTATAAAAAATCAAACAAATTTTCTCATGTGCTGCTTGTAATTCAAATCATATTTAGTTTTCATCTCAGCTTCTCAAATTTTGTAATAAATTCTTCCTTGGAGATAATCATTTATTTCCCCCATTTTTATTAGCAGAGTAATAGCACTTAGTAATAGCTTTAACATTCACATTAGTGTGACTCTGTAGTCTTGAGTTTATAGTAGGTAATAAGCAATCTATAGAAAATATCCTTTTTGTTCTTCCTATATGTCTCCAAATTTATTTGTTTAAAAGATATTGTAGAGATGTCCAGTAAGAACCCCCTTCCACATGTACCCCAATGCTTCTCAGGTCTTTTTATGAATGAGTCTAAGCTACTTGTCCCCTTTATTGAATAATCTTCAGTGGCACTATTAATCCCTTGCTGCATGCCAAGTATTGTCCTTGATGATTTATGTTTGCTAGACTGTATGATCCAACAGTTATTTGATAGATGGGAAAAAACAAGACATTAAGTAACTCCATATTCAGAAAATTAAAAAGAAAGTACTGGAGTCCCAGTCAGTATGACTACTAACTTTATTTTCACACATAATGATAAGATTTATTGGTTTAGTTTACAAATTGAGTTTAAGCCCTTTAGTCTGGTCTTTTTAGAATGCTTTACAGACCTGATCTGTACATGTCAAGTCAATGAGCCCCATCTGTAATATTTCTATGGCACAATTGATGTTTATCATGTTTTTTTTTTTTTTTTTTTTTTTTTTTTTTTTTTTTTACGTTTTTCGAGACAGGGTTTCTCTGTGTAGCTTTGTGCCTTTCCTGGAACTCACTCTGTAGCCCAGGCTGGCCTCGAACTCACAGAGATCCGCCTGGCTCTGCCTCCCGAGTGCTGGGATTAAAGGCGTGCGCCACCACCGCCCGGCTGATGTTTATCATGTTTTAAAAGTGAGTTCCTTAGTAGCCTAAGGTGACCCAAATCAAATGGTTGTGGCTTACAGGCAGCCAAAGTATAAAATAGGCATAATAACAAGGATAATGTTTTTCCCAAATTAGTTTAACTGACAGATGGCTGCAGCACTGGTTTTAAACTCTGGTAGATAGGATTTCTACCATAGCATGTATTTCACTCTGAATTTCTTGGTTTTATTTTCTAGGGAGGTGCATTTGTTGAAATCTTCAGTGCTCAGGGGAAAAATCCTGGAGCAAAATGGAAGATTTTTGGCAGTCCATCTGTGATTTGGAAAGTAAGTGTTAGAAGTTAAGTGTCAAACCCTGGGAAGTACTGTGAGGGAAGGTCATAGAAAAGGGGGCTTCAGAACTGATTTTCTTTTCTTTCACCTGCAAAGGCTTTGTGTTGTTGACTGCAGTCCACCCCCACCCCCGCCCCCGAGACACCACTCCTTAGCTGGTGAAGACTGCCACATGGTGTATAACTGCTGAGTGTACTCTGAGCCCTGCTTTATCATTTTAGGTGACTTTGATGTCAGTGAAGAGCATCTCTCTAAGGACTAGGCCTCTGGGTTTCTTGGTTTCATCATCTTTAATGACACCTTCTCATTCTGCTGCAGCCTTATCATCACTGTCACACCCTTGACCTCTGAAGTTACACGTGAGAGACAGAGATGCCTTTCACTGACCTCAGTCTTGGATCCGTAAGGCCAATTGCTCAGTCCTCCACTGTGTTTGTTCTGCAGTCGGATTGTTCTTCAGGCCACACACTTTTCTGTTCCCTCCTTGTGTTTCGTTTTATTTACTTTCTCTGAATTCTCATCTCTCTCTCCAGTGCAGAAGCTAAAGTGTTATTTCACCCACTTTCCAGTAAGGACCTCAAATGCCTTGGCTCTTTAGCCTATCATGATGCTTGCCTAGCCAGCCTGTGTGGGATCCCTAGTCTTTCCTTTGCCTGTACCTGGGCTCTCAGTACTTTTGGAGAAAATACCTACAGTTTTCAGGTTGATAACACTATAAATCCAACCTCAATAGTCCAGAAAATTATCCTGTTATATTCTTGTCAGTATCCAAAATGATCCTTTCCTGTCATCTTTGGTTTCCAACCACTAAACTGCCTACTCTCAGCCCCACACCCAAGGCATGCCTTTCTTGCTCATCAGAAGCAGACACCCCCACTTCCCAGGAAAAACAGGAGCCATTAGGCGGAAGCCAGTTCCACTTGCTGCCACCATACCTGAAAACCTGTCTCCATCTCCATCCATATCTTTTTCTCTCTTGTAGAAGCAAGAGCTGAATGCCTTCAGGAGAATAAGAATAACTATAGATGAAACTTACAACTACTATTGAGTGCCTAATGTTTGTTAAGCATAACATTAGGCATATTACATAATGTTATATAATATGAATAGCTTTGTGAGATAGATAGCTACATGCCCCTCTGATAGGTAAGAACATTAAGTCATGGAAAAGACAAGGATCAAAAGTGTACAGTATGAATGAGAGAGAAATGGTACTCAGAGAATATGTGCCAGAGAGGCTTCCCCAAATAAGTGGCATTGAGTTATAGTTGGAATATAAAATGTGCCCCCCACAAACTCAGATGTTTGAATACTTGCTCCCAAACTGGTGGTGCTATCTTGAGAGGTTGTAGAAACTTTGGGAGGTGGGGCCAAGTTGTAGGAAGTGAATCACTGGGCCTGGGCATATGAAGGTTGTGCTTGGCCCCAGGTTCCGTTCCTTACACTCCTTCCTATCTGCCATGAAGAAGCTCTTCCACCAATGCTGCTGCCACTGGGGTATTTTGCCCAGGCTCATGGGGCCAAGGAACTGTGGATTGAAATATTTGAAACCCTGACCTTAAAATAAATATTGTTGTGCTTTCAGTTCTTTAATGTTGACTCCTCACAGCTTCCCAAAGTAACTAACACAAGTGCTAAGAGTCAGCCAGGCATAAAGAGAGGCTGCTGCATGGAAGAGCATTCCACAAAGAAAGTAGTATGAACAAAATCCCTGTATTAGAAGAAAGTTTGGAATTTTCAAAAAAATGAGAAAACTGTTGGTGTTCAGATGAGGAGATTAAGTTTGAAGAGCTGGGTAGGGACCAGCATATCTAAGTGCTTTGTGACTTGCTGCAGGGTTGGGCAGGCCCATCATGTGCTTAAATAAAATAAATAATATACTTGGTACATGTATGTTCATCGCAAATACATAGGGGATGTGATTACAATGGACATTACATGGACTTATTACAGAAGTCTTAATTTATTAAAAAGAGATTTATTTTTATGTTTATGTTTGTGTCTGTGTGAGTATATGCCACCTGTGGGGGTGCCCATGGAGGCGAGAGGACAACATCTGATGCTCTGGGGTGGAGACATAGATGGTTGTGAGCTGTCCAGCGTAGGTGCTAGGAACTGAACTTGAATCTTCTAGAAGAGCAACAAGTGCTCTTAACTGCTTAGCCATTTCTCCAGCCCCTTAGCTTAACTTTCTCAATAACCATAATTGTTTCATTTAATTCATATGGATTTAAATATATACGGAATTTTCAAAGTCACAGAAGATACGAAATAATACATAATTAATTCCATTTGAGCTATGGCCTGAAAGTAAAAAACTTCTAGTATGAATTCTGCAGGAGTTAGATACTTTCTTCTGCTATGCAGGGGGTGGTGATGAGCTGTGCACTTAGATGGGATTGCATACAGGCAGCAAGAAGCAACTATACCCAGAACCAGTGAGTTACTTTGGAATCCCTGAAGTTGGAAAACTTTTTTTTTCATTTGGAGGAAAGATATTTTCATATAATAAGAAATTAGCTGTGTGGCTAGTGTGGTTTTGTGTTCCATTCCCAACAAGTCTCAAGATAAAAGCATCATCAGGAGTCTATTTTTAAGTCTTTAAAAAAAAAGAAAGAAAGAAAAAAGACTTGTTTTTCTGGAAATTTGCAGTTCTAATTTTTATGGAAGAAGCCAAATAAGATATGCTTCAATTACTGCTGTTTTTATTTTGTCCCATAGGAGTTTGATAAAGAAGTTAAAAGTTTTGTATTTATCCTGGAAGGCAGCAGCCAAACCAACAGAATTCAGTTACCAAAGGAGAATAAGCAAATACGTGAGTAAGACTTCTACTACTGAAATTCAGTGTTTGAGAGAATTATGTTTTGTGTCTTAGAAGCAGGCATATGAGTAGGACTGGTGTGAGATCTGCTGGTGTGAAGTCATCTGATATTTTATGTAGAAATCAACTATATGCCATGCACTTTAGGAAAATAGCCTCCTTCACTATCTTCTTTAAGTTTAGAACTATTTTAAGTCCTGGAAGATTGTTTTAGTAGCCACTTATTATAATAGTATTTGTTGAGCACTAACTCTGTATGAGGGATTTTTCACAGTGTTTCTTTACAGATGAGCAATGAAACATTGGGTTCTTATTAGAAAATCAGGTGGTTAAGGCAAAGTTTCAACAGGAACTCAAGAACTTATAAGTTAGAAGAACATTTTTTTAAAAAACAAAAATAATGAAAAAAATTGCACAAGATATTATTAGTAACAATAAGTGATAAACCTTTAGGGAACATTAATATCTAAGAAGTATAGATATGTTACTTAGCAGACAGCTGCAGGCTTAATTCCAGTATGAAAATTAGCAGCATCATTTCAAAGCAGACAGAACCTTACAAGGTGGCTTAAAGATGTGGTCTGGAGGAGCAGTTGTTGGCCAAGGTGAGGTTGGATTTTAGGCTCTGTCATCAGATTAAGCTTTCAATAAAGTGATTAATTTGAGTAATGTATAAATATAATCAAACTCTTCTACTAACTGTGTCTCACTGGTTAAATATAGAGTTCTGATATTTTGTAGAAATAAATAGGCAGGTTTTTTTTGTTTGTCATTTACTGTGTCTTCATTCATTAAGAATATTTATTAGAGGGTTGCAGATAAAGCCAAGTGATAGAGCATTACCTAGCAGGCTCACAGGCCTCGGTTCAATTCCTAGCAACATAAATAAAACATATTTTAAAAAAACGTGTATTAAGTACCTTCCATGTACCAGGCACTGTGGAAAGACCTGTTGTTGGTACCTGATTTCTAATTTTAATTTCCTTTGTAAACTGTACAGATCCTAGGCCTTACGTACCATTTTAAGCACTATGTGACATTTTAAATTTCTAAGATGTAAATCAAGCCATGCAAATTAGGGATGGAAGATGATTTAATTTAAAATGTTTTGCCACTGTTTCTTTATAAACTAAGAAATCAACCTTGAAAGAGAATAGATAATTATTATTAAAATTTTTAAATTAATTTGCTGCCACAAGGAAATATGGCTTCCTCATAGTTCCTAATTGGGTATATGACTGATAGCAGGATATTTTGTTGTTGTTTTTCATTTTCATATATATTTGTATTTGTAAGTAAAGTATACTAAAATAAGTCAGGGAAGCATATCTGAAATTGTAGTTTTTTCATATGAGAGACACAGTTCATCTGTTTTGGGATATTGGCTTTATGAAACAGATACGTTCCAGGAACTTGACTGTTAGAAGCTGGTTAGTCTTTTTTGCCCTTATTGTTTGGCTTATACAGACAATCTAAATGCCTGCTTTTTAGTGCCCTCGGCATATGTGCCCATGGTCATGGTACTGATGAAATCAGTTGGTCCAACAGCCTTCTCATTTGGCTCTGAGAAAGATTCCTCCTTTACCAAAGTGACTAAATGCAGACTCCTGATCCCCCTTTCTACTCTTATTCAGGTTTTTGGGTTTTTTCTTCCTTTCCTCAGAAACTGGGTTTAATGTGTTATAATTACCTCTTTAAATGTGACAATGATGACTTTTAATTAGAAGAAACAGAAGAATCTTCTAATATGTTTCTTACACAATGTCCTACAGTTAAAAATTAATCTGGCTTTCCCATAGCATGTGCAACAGTATAACAAATGAAATAGTTTGTGTGGTCTCCCGCCACTAATGCCTTCACATGAGCTTTTTGGATGTTTTGATAACAAAGTTGGTTGTTATTTTTACTTGTATAAAATGACCTTCTGTTTGAGGTTGGTATGGTTAAACTGAAATTAAAAAGTATGCCTTGAATAGAGAAGTGGCTTTCAGTTAACACTTAAATTAAGTTCAATTATCATTACATATTTCTGTTTTAAGAGTTAATATATACTTTATGCAAACTTGACATTACATAGTTCATTTGTATTTCTGACTATATTAGATGCTTATGAAGAAAGTTTTATAATGAAATTATGTATGTTTGACTGCTCCTAAATAGTAATCTTTCTGAATTAAATTGTACTTGATGAGTCCTAAGTAAATAAATCAGTTGTGTTTTTAATTTGTTATTACATTTATTTATTATTGTGTGAGTGTCTTCATGCACCATGGTGTACATGAGGGTCAGAAGACAACTTGTGGGAGTCAGTTCTCTCTCGTCATGTGGATTCTGGGAATGAACTCATGTCAGCTTGGCAAGCAAATACACTTACCTGCTGAGGCATTCCCCCTTGCCCTGTGTTTTCTGTTGTTGTTTCTTTATAACCTAATATAAGAAATCAACCTTGAAAGGAAATAATTATTGTTAAAAATTTTTAATTAATTTGCTGCCATAAGTGAACTTCCTCATAACTAATAACTTTTCTGAAACATGATAATAGGTTTCTCTGCCAATTCAGTAAGCCAGGTCAAGCCCAATTGATAACGCAAAAGAACAGGTATATTTGAGCAAATCAACTCCCATTTGAGCCCCCCCAACCCCAGAGATTGGGGCCAGAGAAGTCATGTGGCCAAAGTAAAGCAGGGAGCATATATACCCTGTAGGCGAGGGGTGATGATATGTCCCCCACAAGCTGAGTTTGTGCCCAAGTATGGTCAAAAACTGACCACTTTAGACGGGGTCTTGGGCTACTGGCAACTTTAGAGGAGGAGCTGTAACAGCTACTAAGAATGTGGAACTGGGCCTTTTGATGCCTTTTCTTTGTTGGAGATTCTCTGGGGGTGGGGGTTGGAGAGAGAAGAATGGGGCTTTCCAGATCAAGCAGGAATGAGCTGGTGGTTCCAGCTGAAAAATAACTCCCTCATAGTTCCGAGTTGGATATGTGTCACATGGTGCTTGAAATGGTACATAATGCCTAGAATCTGTACAGTTTACAAAGGAAATTAAAACTAGAAATCATGTACCAACAGCATGTCTTTCCACAGTCTGGTGCATGGAAGGTACTCGATACATGTTCTTTTTAATATGTTTATTTATGTAGCTAGGAATTGAACCCAGGCCTGTGAGCCTGCTATGTAAATAATACCCATCAAATGATGACACTTGAGTATCACGTTGTATACTTCTCCAGGGTGTTAGTCAGCTTTGTAACCCCTAACTCAGTGACGACATACAGTTGATGTTCAGATAAGTTTGTTAAATTTGTTACAGTAAGGAACTTTGACAAGTCGGTTTCCAATTTCTAACTGTAACCATCTGCCCTTGGTAATGACACTTTAGTGTGTCATTCACCAGTACAATAAATCTCTGCCACCCTTCAGCTTGGTTGGTGTTGTATGGAGTTGCCCGTGTGAGAAGCATCACTGTCATACATAAATATCCAGTAGGGACTTTCTATTCAAGAGTCACATTCAAAGTCGTTTCCCTGCTGAATCATCTGAATCAAATAGTGTGTGTCCGGCCATCTGTATCCCTGAAGCCTGAGTTCAGCTGTTCTAAAAGATGAAGATGGCTTCTTGTGGTTCCCCCAGGTCTCCTCACTGCTACTTTGCTATTCTTTTTAAATTATGTCTTGCTCTGTTTAAAACCCTTAAGTGTCTTTGATCTCACCATTTTATTAAAGTGCTCTTATCAGAGTGAGTGGTCTTCTGTATTCCTGAACCATTGGGGGTTCTCAGCTCTCATCTTCACCCTTGGGAGCATCTGGGACAGCCAGCACCCCCTCGATACACTTCTTTCACTTACCTCCTAGGATTCTTCATCCTATTGTACACTAGGTTGTTGTTAGTTTCTTTTTGCTCTTCCTCTTCACTTGCCACCTGAATGCTACAGTGACTCTGGTCTTTATGCTTAGCCCTGTGGCTACATGTTCTCCCTGGTTATCAGCTTCAGGATCATGGATTTTTAATGCCATCTCTGTCTCACTTCAGTCTTGCACATCAGGTATTTACTAGTCTTTTTTCCTGGACCACCTAAGGGTAGTGTATGTAAAACCCAGTTCCTGGCCAAGGCTGCTTGTGATTTTTCCCCCTGCCTTTGTTGCTAGCAAATAGCATTCTCTCTTCAACTGACAAGACCAGACTTCTTCATTAAATCAGCTTCTCTATTTCTTTATTCTCTGAATCCATTAAGAAGATATCAGTAGTACTGGGGAAAAGATTGAAAGTTTCCCCACTTCCTACCCTTTGGTATTGCTCTCACCACTCTCTCAGGCCTGGATTATTACAGTTACTTTCTATTGTAGTCAGATGTCAAATTAGCAGCCAGAGTAGAACTCCTCAATTCTAAGTGACATGTGAAACATGTTACCTTCTCCTGGAAAAGGTCCCATTCCTTAAAGTAAAAATAATTTCTCTATGGGAATGTAACTGTCTGATTCCCTCTTCATTCTCTGGCTTTCTCTCTCATTGCCCTTCCTCTGGCCTTCATTCCACCCATTCAAGGCCATTGCTGTTTTGAAATCCAGCATACTCTTCTCTTTTCCAGCCTTTACTAAGATGCCACTTTTGAATGAGGCCCACCTGACATGTCCGTAAGTTACACCTGTGCTTCATATTGTTCCCATTTTTCAGTCCATTGGCCCCTTTCCTGCCCTGCTCTCAAACTATGAACAACACTGAACTGAACATGTGTGTGTTGTTAGTTGTTTTACTGTTTTTCCAACCATTTTCAGAAAGCAAATTCCACTGATAGAAACTGTTTATTTTGTCTAATTAATTTGTACTGAAAAAATGCATGACTGAGCGGCTTCCCACTGATTTTAGGTTGGCCCATATCTTTCACCTGGCCTTCAAGGCTCCATATGACTGGGTTTACAATCTGTTCTTTTCCCTCTGCAGTGTCTTACACCAGCCGACTGAGCATTTTAAGGTTAATTTCAGCAGTTCTGTCCTTATGGACATCCCACATCATCCTAAGATGGAGGAATCCACCTTACAGTCTGTTCATCTCTCCTACACCTCTACCCCCTTCCAGTCACTCTCTTCTTATTCTCCCAAGCTCAGTTTCTGCATTATTTCTTCAGGACTACTTTTACTGACCATCCCCTTCCCTTCAAGCAACTATAGTTAAATGCTGTCCTAGAACTTTGACCTTCTCTTTTGTGAAACCATATTGCACATTCCATGAGGGCACAGATTATGATGGTCTTATTTACTGTAAAAAACTTCAGCAAGACTTGTGTACAGCATGTGATCAATAATCTTTGTTAAATGATAAAGCTATTTCTTATAAATGATTCTTTGAGGTACAGGTGGAAATTATTAGCCCAGTTTTAGGGATGAAAAGGAAATTAAGAATATACTAAGGCTGTGTTTGAAGTCTTGGAGTAAGTTCATGCTGAGCTTTCTGGGTAGTGAGGGAGAATGATTGTCTGTGGCCTCATCCTACTTCTTGGATGACACAGTCCTTGGAAAATGTATGTGAGGTATGCAGTTTGTCATTTGCTCTAATGAAACAACTTTAAAACCACTGCTTAAGCCGGGCGGTGGTGGCGCACGCCTTTAATCCCAGCACTTGGGAGGCAGATCCAGGCGGATCTCTGTGAGTTCGAGGCCAGCCTGGGCTACCAAGTGAGGCGCAGGAATGTCGCAAAGCTACACAGAGAAACCCTGTCTCAAAAAACCAAAAAAAAAAAAAAACTGCTTAAAATTAATGGTATTTTATAAGTTGAGTATGGTTTTAAATATTTAAAAGAAAAAAAATGAAGACTTTGCCACTTAACAAGGAATTTCTGTATATTTATGTACTTGATGGCCATTTTTTAAACTAATGAGGCCCATATTCAGTATTACTTAGAGTGATTTTAAATACAATACAGACATGAAGAGCCAGTTTAAATTTCCTAGGCCAGGGAACCATATACGACAATGGAGTTTATTTAGCATTACTGCCATACAGAACCAGCTTGTCAAATGTTGTTAAAGCACTCTTTGTCATATCATCACCCTTTAGTGTCATCACATGTGAAAGCCTTTTGGAAAGTGGGGCCTCAGTGTGTGAGAATGTGGAATGACAGAATTCTTTTTGTTTTTTTGAGGAAAGAGATATTTCATTTCTAAAAAAATGGTCTTTTACGTGCATCTCTTTGTGCTTGAAGGAAATAATGACTCAGTGAGATTTGTGGCACCTTTTAAAGGGCTGGTGTTCTTGATCTGGTGTTCTCCAAGCTCTATTTACAGCTGAGGCCACTGTGGAAATGGCACTACTCTCCCTACAGGACCAGTCAGTGCAAGAGACCAGAGAGGCTGACTGACAGTGGCTTATTTGAGGTGGCTTCATTTTGCTATTTCACTTTGCTTTTGTGGGTCAAAACTCTGGTTGCCACATTGAGTCAATAGAACACATTCCTGGAGAATTTCCTAGGGTAGAGCCTTTAATCTCCCATTTCTGTTTTGTTTGACTTAGGATTCTCTCTGAACACATTTATAAACTTGATAATTTAAAAGAAGTTATCCTTGTATATTTGATGAAAACATTCATAAACATTAATGTACATATTTGGCCAGTTATGTTTGTTTATAGAAAAGTTTGGTATAAAAGATAGAAATGGCTTATATTTCTCAGGAATGTTGTAAAACAGCTTACTATAGGAATTACAAATCAGAAAGTCTGTATAAAATGATCAAAAGTTATTGTGGGATTAAAATATTTAATTTATTAAGTTTATTACTGGAATAAATAAAACATATCATCACCTTAAATCAGTTGCTTTCCTTGGACTCCTATGTCTGTATATATGGGTGTGTGTGTGTGTGTGTGTGTGTGTGTGTGTGTGTGTGTGTGTACTGGGAATTGAGCCCAGCATTGTACACTCTACGCAAGCATTCCAGCCATAGCTTAGGTGGGCTCTGAACGTGGGGATGAACCTTGAACTCCAGATCTTCCTGCCTCTACTTCCTAAGTGCTGGATTGTAAGGAACCACCATCAGACGTGGCTTGGCCAGGTCTTTTTTTCTATTTGTCTGTACTTCTGAATTTATATGAGAAGGTCATAGACAAAGTTATGACATCTTTATTTCATACACAGTGGAAAAAAATGTTCCTAACCTGTGTATTTTGGGAGATGTGATCCTTGTGAGTTTTTGTTGCTGTTTTCTATTTCATTGAGGGTTGAACCCAGAATCTTCTATGTGCCTTGCCTGCCAAGTTCTTCTACAGTCCACCCATACCAATACCCTAGAAGGGGTGACACTAACACGTCTGTCAAAAGCATCATAAATTGAGAGATCAATCAAAAGTTCAAAACCTTAGAGGGAATGACTTAAGTGACTGGATGTAGAGAAACAGTATAAAAATCAAGTAACTTTGTTTAAGCTCTTGTAGACTACAGCTATCAAAAGTGCCATGAGTGTTGGTTTTTCTCATTTTTTTAATCCGCATGAAGTTAGTGATCGGGAATAAAAGCTATCATTTCTGAGTGAGAATAAATTAAGAACGCGGTAACAAATTTATAAGTGAAACTATGTTCCTCCATCCAGCTGAGTGTGGACATTGTTAAGACCGCATGTCCAAGCTCTGCTTCATTAAGCTTTCACTTGTAGTTGTCATAATTAGAATTGCTTTTCTTGAGCTGCTCTTCTTTATTGAGTTGTTTAGTAAGACTATAAAACCTGTCAGAGAATAAAAATAATTGCCACATGTTTTTATGACCACCCTGATAGGAATCCATAGTTCAATTTTATACGTGTATGTGGAGTGCAGTTCTGTGCTCACATTCTCTTACGGCATAATGAGTGAATAAAAATCCTGTTTTTGATTTTCATAAAAAATTCACCAGTGCCACAGATGGAACTTTACAGTGCAGCATGAGTTGAAGTTTGATTCAGCTGTCATCAGTGTCTCCACCTTTATAATCAGGTTATTAATCATGGACAGTGCTACTGTATGCCTTTCTGCTCCTGAAGTGCTGGACTCCACAGCTTGCTGGAGCACTGACTATTTGTGTGCACATGTAAGGGGCCTGAACAGTTCATTTTATGTTTTTTTTTTCTCTTCTAGTTGGACTGATCCAGAGGTTTCTTGTACTTCAGATTTACATACCCCTGGGACAGGACTTCTCCACTGAATTACTGTAAGATGTATAGAACTTCTTCTGAATGTTTTATGTGCATTAGACATTTGATCAATTGAAACAGTGCTAACAGTCATTAATTGCAAGTGACAGGGGTTTTTTTTGCATTAAACAGTAGTGACTTATCAGATTGACATGAAATAAAATAATTTAGTTGTGTTTCTTGGATATTGCTGCACTCTGAAATTTCTTGGGAGAAAGCAGGTTTCATCTGTTTCAGAAGATGCTGTGGGTTATGATTTTATGTTTTTCCTGTTTCTTTGCAGAACTACAGTTAGCTTAACATTGATTGAAAGACATCTTAACACTGTTTACTGTAGTTTTGATATATTGGTTCCTTTTGTGTATGTAAAGATAGCTTGGAGTATATTTATTTTCAGTGGCCTTACAAGATTGCTTAGCAAAAGTTAAAATAAATTACTTTTACTCAGTTGAGCTATGCGTTGTGTGAAATACTAGTAATAAAAATAACATTAATTTGTAATTTCATACAAAATTGCATATTTTCTAAGATTTTGTTGCTTAATTTCTGTATTGTTTGGTTTTTAATTAAAAGCTGTACATGGTTCAGGCTTAGGCATTTGTCTTCAATCCTGGACAAAAGTTCCAGCTTTATCAGTGTGCAGCGTAAACTAAAGGAGAGAATGTTCTTAGTAAACGAGTTATTAATTCCTCTCTGTTTACATAAGCTAGAAGAATAGTGATTCTTAGGTTGTTAAAGAGTCTGAATTTTAGCTTATAAGGTACAGCTTTGTTTTTTTAGATAAAACATAGATGGAACACCATACAGTTTCGTTTTATTCAACCTTAAGCCCCTGTGAACTTGTAAGATCTTCTTTTATCAGCTTCCATAGCCACCACCAATCTTAAAATAGTTCTTAGAGAGAGAAGACCAAAGCATCATTTGATGCTCTTATGTACCACTTCCTACCAAAGCATTTTCAAGACTCCAAAGGCATTCTGAAGGCACAGAAAGTACCACTGAAAGCTTTATTTTCAGCACAGGAGAATGTGATTTCTGAATTGAAAGAAGGCAAATTATGTTTTAAACTTTAAAGCTCTTTACATAAAAATCCAATTTTGCTCCCCATTTTACCTGGATCTCACCATGACCCATACTTTGAGCTTCTTCAAAGCGTGGTAAAGGTCTTCCTAGTTGGCCTTTGGATTAGAGGCCTGTGAGACCCTTGGATGGTCTTTAGAATGGGATTCCTTGCCAATGACACCTCTTTTTTCTTTGCAAAATTAAGATTGTGCCCAAATGTTTGAGCATATCACTCTAGCTTAAACAGTAGACTGTCTTTAATTAATTTAATGGCAATTAAAGCTTTAGTTATTGAGAAACCAACAGGTACCCTTAACCTGCTCCTAGCAGGAGAAAAGCTGATACCTAAATAAACCCAACTATTCTTTGCTGTCACATTGCTAGTGCCTTTGGCCTGTTTAAGTATTGGAAACATTTTTGGCATTAATGATTAGATTGTAAATGTGGTTCACTATAATCATTGATTTCTATGTTCTTGTGTCCCCATGGAAGATGAGTTGATTTTATAAATGATTTTGGTTTTATAATGCTAGGAAAATAAATTCTTCTGGACGAAAAGATTAAAATTTTTAAATGACATGGATGAGACTCTGTCAGTTTATCATATATGAACTTGAATTTGTTACTGATAGTCAAATAGTTGTTTCATGCAGAAATGACAGAGATCATGTTTTCAGCAAAAAGAATGTTAGGTATAGATTTTCGTTCTAACACATTTTCCCCCTACCTTAAAGGAAAGGACTTTCTTTCAGTACCCTTCTTGTTGTACTGTTCCTAGCAGCATAGCCCTAGGCTATTTTAAATAATACATTTCTCTAACAAGCTTGGAAAGTCACCTAGCCGAACCATATCTGGCTTTCAATTTCTCCATTGTTAGAGCAGAGAAAGGCATTTTGTTTCTCAAAGGTTTTTGCTATACATCAAGAGATTTTCATGAGTGGAGCTAGTTTAGGAGCCAGCTAGTTTAGGAGTTTAGCAGTCATTTCTTCAGCCTCTTCCTGTCTTTTATGCTCTCTGAATGAGTTATTGTGCCCAGGAAGAGGTTTTATATGTGTATTAGGGGTGCTTTAGAACCAGTAGCTGCTCATATTGAGGACCAGACAGTATGCTGCCCCTTGGAGATTTGAAATACCTTGAATCTGTAAATGCTATATTTCCCACTTCCAAAACACCATCACTGTTGTCCTGGTTGTTTCAGATTTTTTCTGGATTCCCCAGCTTCCTCCTTGTCTTAGTTGTGGTTTCTATTGCTGTGAAGAGACACCATGACCACAGCAACTCTTATAAAGGAAAACATTTAATTTGGGCTGTCTTACAGTTTCAAAAATTTAGCCCATTATCTTCATGCAGCATGCAAGCAGATATGGTTCTGGAAAGGAGCTGAGAGTTCTACATCTTGATCCATCGGCAATAGCAAGTAAACTGAGTGCCAGACTGTGTGTAGCTTGAGTATAGGAAAACTCAAAGCCCACCTCCAAAGTGACACACTTCTTCAACAAGGCTAACCCCTTGGTAGTGCCACTAGCTGTGGGGGCCGTTTTCTTTCACACCACCACATTCTACTCCCTGGCGTCTATAGACTTGTAGCTGTGTCATAGCAAAAATGCATTCAGTCCAACTTCGAAACTTTTCCATAGTCTGTAACAGTTTTAAATTTATTTAAAGGTCTAAAATTTGAAGTCTCTTCTGAGATTCATGGAATCTCTTAACTGTAATCCCCTGTAAAATCAAAATCAGGAAGCAGATCACATACTTCAACATATAATGGCACAGGATATATATTACCATTCCAAAATATAGGGAAAGGAGCATAGTGAGTAAATACTGGACCAAAGCAAGACTGAAAACTAGCTAAGCAAATGCCAAACTCTGCTTCTCCATGTCTGGTATCAAAGTGCTCTTCAGATCTACAACTCCTTTCAGCTTTGTTGACTGCAGCACACTTCTTTCTCTTGGGCTGTTTCCACTCCCTGTTAGCAGCTCTCCTTGGCAGGTATCCCATGACTCTAGCATCTCCAACATCTTGAGTCTCCAAGGCATGCCAGGCTACATCTTCACAGCTTCACACAATGGCCTCTCTAGGCCTCCATTCAAGGACACCCCTGACACATGCCTGGCTGTAGCTAGAGTTTTCCTGCCTGGCCCACAGTCAGGATAAATCTCTGCCACTCACCAGTCCCACAACCACTCAGACCCAAACAAATAAACACAGAGACTTATATTGGTTTCAAACTGTATGGCCGTGGCAGGCTTCTTGCTAACTGTTCTTACAGCTTAAATTAATCCATTTCTATTAATCTATACCTTGCCACGTGGCTTGTGGCTTACCGGTACTTTACATCTTCCTTGTCCTGATGGCGGCTGGCAGTGTCTCCCTCACCCAGCTTCCTGTTCTCTCAATTCTCCTCTCTGTTAGTCCCGCCTATACTTCCTGCCTGGCCACTGACCAATCAGTGATTTATTCATTGACCAATCAGCAACACATTTGACATACAGACCATCCCACAGCACCTGGCCTCAGCGGTTTTCCTTAGTTACTTCTTGACTCAAAAGCCAGAACAACTCAGCTGAAGCTGCCAAGTTCTGCTCCTTACTGTACCTGGAACCTGCCCCCCTCATTCAGTTACATCTTTACCAGCTTTCTGTTTTTGATGGTTTCCTGCATTGCCTAAGCTTGGCTGTCCTGAATCTTCATCGACAGACCAGGCTTGCCTCAAACTCAGAGATACACTTGCCTCTACCTTCCCAGTGCTAGAATTAAAGGCATGCACCACCACACCTGGCTTTAAGCTTTTCTTTAATTGTTTTCACAAGTTGGAAATGTAGTTGGGTGGGATTTTGCTTGAGGTCATCACTACCTTTATCCCATTTCCTAATCTGTTTATCTCCTTGCTAGTGCTTCTTTTCTCTTCAAATTTTACATTTTTAATTTTTTCTTGTTCAGCTTGCTTCTTTCATTATAAATCTTCATTAGAGTTAACACTAGTAACTACAGGACAAAGTCTATGCTAGGCAGTTTTGCGATTTCCTCTACCAACAGAATTAATCCAAAACTTCACTTTAGCCTCAGGCAAACTTTAGACAAGGGCAAAAGGTAGCCATATTCTTCACCAAAATACCACAAGAACAATCTTTAGGTAACACACTAAAATTCTTCTCTGAAATTTCTTGAGCCAGGGCCCCCACAATTCAAAATACCCTCATTACCACTCTCTTCCACACTCCTACTAGTAATGACCATTAAGCAGCACTTAAAGCATTCCACTGCTTTCCTAACCCAAACCCCCAAAGTCCAAACTCCTTCAAACAAAAGCATGGTAAGGACTTTCACAACAATACTCAAGTCCCTGGTACCAGTTTGTCTTAGGGTTTCAATTACTGTGAAGAGACACCATGACCAAGGCAACTCTTGTAAAGGAAAACATTTAATTTGGGCTGGCTTACAGTTTCATTTAGTCCATTATCTTCATGAAGCATGCAGACAGACATGGTGGTAGAGAAGGAGCTGAGAGTTCTACATCTTGATCTACAGGCAGCAGGAAGTGAACTGAGTGCCACACTGTGCATATCTTGAGCATAGGAGACCTCAAAGCCCACCTCCACAGTAGCACACTTCCTCCAACAAAGCTGTACCCCCTGATAGTGCCACTTCCTACAGGGGCCATTTTCTTTCAAGCAGCCACATTCCCTCAACAGTGTCTACACTGCATCTACTGTGAGCGGTCTTAAAAAAACAAGAATTTCCACAGGTGAAGTGAGGATAAACCCCAAAGTCCTTAATGTTCTGTGTGTCATGGATTGTTCTTCTCTCCTGTCAGGCACTCCGCTCTGAGTATGTTTCTCGTCAGGTACTGATGTCTTCCTGTCCTCATGCCTCTATCCTTCCTTGATTCCTGTGCACAGTCAGTCTGTCCCTAGCTCTTCCTAGCCAATTCCTTCCTACTCTTAAGAATTC